TCGGACTCGTTTACAACTAGTTTGGTTAACAACCATTAAAAGAGCTTAGGCTCGTTAGGCTCCAAAATATGAATAATTTTTAGGGTTAATAACTTTTTCCCATCTGAACTTTCACGTTTTTTGCGCATCACCATATGAACTTTTTTTTTTTACAAATCACCATCTAAACTACACGAATTTGTCAAATTGGCCTCTAAACCGGATATAAAAGTGGTTTTGACTAAAAAAAAAGCAGATTTCTAAGGGTATTTCTGTAATATCATATATTTTCCAAAAGAAAATAAAAAAAATTAAAAAATGAAGATGTTGGTTTATCTTCTCCGACCGTATCTCTTGCAACACCTAATCGACCCTCAAGTGCCTTCTCCGAGTCCTCCGTCTACCCGGACGAGTTTCAGGCTGTGTTGTTTAATCGATCCTCAAGTGTTCCTTCGAGTTTTGCAACACTGTCAGGTCGTGGAGTGATGAGGCACAGATGGCCTTTGAAAAGTTGAAGGAGTTTCTGAGCGAGCTACCCCTACTGACCAAACCGGAGCCGGGTGACGAGTTGATATTATACATCTCGGTAGGGGAGTTTGCTTTGAGCTCGGTATTACTGCGGGAGGAGGGAAGTTCTCAATATCCAATATATTATACAAGCCGAGTACTTCAAGGAGCGGAGACGAGATACCCCGAGGTCGAGAAAGCCGCCTGACACTAGTCATAACAGCCAGAAAACTGAGGCCTTATTTTCTGAATCATACAATAGTGGTGAGAACAAATTTCCAATTGGGAGAAACATTGGGTCGACCTACTGTCTCAGGCCGACTCGTAAAGTGGGCTGTGGAGTTGAGCGAATGTTCTATCAAATACGAGCCGAGGCGAGCCATTAAAGCCCAAGCTTTAGCCGATTTCATTCAGGAAGGCACCAAAGGAGAGGAAAGGAAGTGGATAATGCATGTCGACGAGTCTTCTGCGGCCAAAGGATCTGGCCTGGGAGTCGTCCTCGTATCCCCCGAAGGCGAGCAGCTCGACTTCGCCATGAGAATGGGATTCAAAGCCTCAAACAATGAAGCTGAATATGAGGCACTTATCAAGGGGATTCAACTGGCAATCGGTGGCGGAGCAACAGAGATCGCAGCACATTCCGACTCGCAGCTCGTCGGCGAACAGGTGTTGGGAAATTGTGAGATAAAGGAAGATAGAATGATGAAGTATGTCGAGGAAATCCAAAGCCTCATACAAGGATTGGAGAAATTTGAGCTAACACAAATCCCGCGAGAAGAAAACAAACGAGCCGACTGGCTCGCAAGAATCGCAAGCTCGAACGAGGGAAAAGGAGGAAATCATATCACCACGATGCACCTCGAGGGAAGCGTTCTGAGCGAAACCATGGAAATAGACGAGAAGGATGATTGGAGGAAATCGATTCGCGAACTCTTGCAGGGTCGAGTCCCTGCAGGAGACAAACAGGAGGCGGAAAAGGTGGCTCGATATTTAAGCAAGTACTTCGAAGTCGACGGGATTCTATACAAGAAATCGCTGGTCGGGCCCCATCTGCGATGTGTTTCAAAAGAAGAAAGAATACATGTTCTGAGAGAAATCCATGAAGGATGTTGCGGAGCACACATAGGATCTCGAGCACTGACTGGCAAAGCCCTGCGAGCAGGATATTACTGGCCCAAAGTGCGAGCAATGGCGGAGAAGCTCGTGCGAGAATGCGATAAGTGTCAGCGACACGGCCAAGTTACCCATGTTCCAGCTGAATATATGACGACAATCAACTCTCCGATACCCTTTGCGCAATGGGGAATCGACTTGGTGGGCCCGTTGCCAATGGGGACAGGACAAAGAAAATTCTTGGTGGTCGCGGTCGAGTGTTTTAGCAAGTGGGTCGAGGCGGAACCCTTGGCGCGAATTACTGAAGAAAAGATGATACAATTCTTGTTCAACCATATTTGTTGTTGATTTGGAATTCCGAAGGTGTTAATTTCAGACAATGGAACCCAATTCCAAGGAAAACGGATCCAAGCATGGTGCCTCGACATGGGAATCAAACAGAGATTTGCGTCAGTCGCACATCCACAAGCAAATGGGCAAGTCGAAGTTACTAATCGAACTATCCTCCAAGGATTGAAGAAAAGACTGGAAAAAGCGTCGGGATCTTGGGTCGACGAGTTGACAACAGTACTATGGGCCTATAGGACGACTCCAAGAAGTTCGACGGGACAATCCCCATTTCACATGGTCTATGGGATGGATGCGTTATTACCGATTGAAGTCGGCCTCGACTCCCACAGATCGAAGTTCTACAAAGAAAGGAGAAACAAGGAAATGATTGAAGAGGCCCTAGACCTAATTGAGGAAGATCGAGAAGAAGCCTGGGTGCGATCTGTCGTGTACAAACAGAAGATGCGAGCAGCCTTCGACAAGAAGGTCCGAACCAAACGATTCCAAGTGGGAGACCTCGTCCTCAAACAAGCCGACGCTCTCAAACATGTCGGCAAGCTCGAAGCTAACTGGGAAGGGCCCTACACTATCACAAAGGTGCTCGAAAGGGGCGCATATGAACTCGAGGATGGAGAAGGTCGACAACTCCCGCGATCCTGGCATGTGATCCATCTCAAACGCTTTTACGCTTAAGGAAATATTTCGAATTACTTTTTGTACTGAACAATGTCTGAATTGAATTCAATGATGAAATGAACCTGTTTATGCTTCAATTATGTTTCTTACATTTACACGTCGACTTCAATATGATTGTATGAAAAATCGAATTTTTCGAAACGGCTATGAAGCCGACTAACTTTGCAACGATTATGAAATCAACTAACACAACTACGGAGTTGTAAAATTCTCGAGCGGAATCTCGAGCAGGCTACGAAGCCTTCGACTACGAAGTCGACTAACACAACTACGAAGTTGTAAAATTCTCGAGCGGAATCTCGAGCAGGCTACGAAGCCTTCGACTACGAAGTCGACCAACACAACTACGAAGTTGTAAAATTCTCGAGCGGAATCTCGAGCAGGCTACGAAGCCTCCGACTACGAAGTCGACTAACACAACTACGAAGTTGTAAATTCTCGAGCGGAATCTCGAGCAGGCTACGAAGCCTCCGACTACGAAGTCGACTAACACAACTACGAAGTTGTAAAATTCTCGAGCGGAATCTCGAGCAGGCTACGAAGCCTTCGACTACGAAGTCGACTAACACAACTACGAAGTTGTAAATTCTCGAGCGGAATCTCGAGCAGGCTACGAAGCCTTCGACTACGAAGTCAATTAACACAACTATGAAGTTGTAAATTCTCGAGCAGGCTATGACACCTTCGACTACGAAGTCGGCTAGCACAACCATTAACAATTGAAACTCTCGAACGGAATCTCGAGCAAATTACAAATCTCACACTCATGACATCGGTATACACAATTATGTAATTGTCGCGTTTACAGAATGAAAAATCTCGTACAATCAACTTTGATACACATCTAGACAACGAACATCGACACAGCTACGAAGCTATTCAAATCGCTGCTCGACTTCGACCAGCTCGCAAGAAGGATTGGGGAGAAGTCGAGTTGAAAAACTTGGCGTTTCACAGCTACGAAGCTGTTAAAACAGTTGCTCGACTTCGACCAGCTCGCAAGAAGGGTTGGGGAGAAGACGAGTTGAAAAACAACGTTTATCAGCTATGAAGCTGCTAAAAACTCTGCTCGACTTCGACCAGCTCGCAAGAAGGGTTGGGGAGAAAACGAGTTGAAAAACAACGTTTATCAGCTATGAAGCTGCTAAAATCTCTGCTCGACTTCGACCAGCTCGCAAGAAGGGTTGGGGAGAAGACGAGTTGAAAAACTTGGCGTTTCACAGCTAACGCCCATAGCTGCTGCACAGCATCCCTTCATCACTCTCATACTGACTTGAGCGTCGGAGGCTCTACGCCGGAAACACCTCCGGCGTTGAGTTTTTGCAGGAATCTCGCGGTCTAGCAACGATTGGAAAGCGGTTCAAGCAGATCTGAGCTCACCACAACCGGTTTACTCCAGATCTGGTAGTAGACCCATCATAGCCTTTGACTTGAACCAACGGAAAACAAAAATAAAGATCTTGATGAAGATTGTTCTAAAACAAATCACATTGTTCATTTAAGTCGAAGTAGCATGAACTGTAAAATAGTTAGCAATACATTCGATGTCTGTTAAAAATTATGAAATTAACTTAAAAAAAGTTTGAGTATGATGTAGTTAGTTTAATGTGTACTGCTAGCTTTCTTCACTAGGATTAGCAGAAAACTTAACTATTCTTTGATTTTATATTCTGGAAAGCAGCTGGCTTGATTGAGTTAAGCAAATGTGTACCTTTATGAATTTCAGGATATGACATCAATTACCTGGCTCGAGAAGCTCAACCTCGGTGGCTAAAGCCAGTTGAAGTGTATTTCATACTACAGAATTTTGAGGAGCACCAGCTCACGCATAAAATTCCTCAAAAACCTGCCAGTAATATTCATAAAATATTTTCCCTTTATTTTTTTAAGCCATTTGCTGTGGACAGTGAAAAGGCATGACTCTATCTCACTAAATCATCCTTTTACAGGTGGATCCCTTTTCCTGTTCAACAAACGCGTGCTAAAAAATTTTCGTAAGGATTCTCATATTTGGCTAGCTTTTCCCTGTCTTGTATGCTTCTTCTCTTGTGTCATTTTCTTCTTCTGTCATTATCAGTTGGAACTCAAAAGGCATCCTTTTGTTAAATGATAATGGTATAATACTTATCCAAGAGATATAAAAATCTAATTTGTGAAACAGTAAAGGTTTGGCTTTTGTATTACTGGACCGACTTCAAGGCGTAACTTTTATTGACCTAAGAGTTTCGAAAGAGTATTATCTTTTACCACCAGGTATAAAACAAACTGGTCAAAAACTGAAGTGGATTAATTTAAAAATAAATTTGGTTGAAGCCATAAACTGTTATTACGCCCATGGAGAGAGTGACAATAACTTTCAAAGACGCAGCTATTGGATGTTGGATCCGTAAGTGTTCACATATATTCACGTTTGTATTGGCCCCTTTTAAATCGTTTTCAAGATTGAAGTTTAAGAAATGTCAAATATTGATAAATCCTTAGTACTGAAGAATTCAAAGTAGCAACTCATGGATGCAACTGTACCTATTAGCATCCTTTTTCCTGTCATGAACTCTTAAAATTGCCTTTTACTTTAATTTATTAAAGTATTTCTTGTTCTAACAGGGCATACGAGCATATTGTTCTTGTTCACTACAGAGATATTGGCAAGGTGAGTATATTTATGGGCAAAGCTTAATATTAACTGCAGTTACTCTGAGGTTGTTGCCATGTTTCCTATTTGGCGGCATTATTTTTTATTACTGCACTCAATGACCTTATGACTTCATCATGTAATAGATTTATCTACTTAAATGTTTAACAATGTTCATAAAAAAATTATCGTGCATTACAGCGGAGGGAGAATAATGGATCAGCACCTCAGTTCTCCACACTTTCATCCTTTACCTTCAGTCCCAGTCCTTACTCTTTTGCAACTGACCAGCCAGAATCTTCTTTTGTTATCGACGAATCTCGCGAATTGTATCACAATGAATCTAGTCCAAGCTCTGTGGAGATTACCTCTGGTCAAGTCATGGTGAATAATAGGATAAACCCGTCAGATATTTAAAGAGAGAACTGATGAGGTCAGTAGCTCGTCTCTTCCAGATTTAGGTCAGGTGCTGAAAAGAATCGAGCAGCAATTGAGTTTATATGACGATGAGATGAAAAAATACGATAGTCTTCATCGAGAATGAGGCGTCAAATGATCTGGAAAATGTGCTGGGGAGTTATGAAAACTCTAGCCGGCCACCAAATGGTCTGCAAAATCCTTTTCCAAAGCTCATCACTTATTATTAGCTGTTTTNTTCAGTCAAGTAATCTTCTGTGTTAATAGATCTTTAACATCGTCAGATGCAGTTGACGTTTGTGAAGAGATGCTATATAGCTCAAATGATGTGCCTAATGATGAGTTGCAAGAACAATTTGGAAGACCAAATGCTCGTAAGTTTCCCTTACAAGACACTCTTTGTTTTATTAATTTCGGAATCTTTATTCTGCAAGAATTCTGATAACAGCTTACCTTGCCAGTCTCTCTATTTATCAAAGAAGCGGATTCTCTGGAATATCCCGCATATTCTCCTGGCCCCCATGCTTACAGAAGCACTCCTGACTGCTACTCATCGTTATTCGAGCAAGACGTGTTGAGAATTCTTCTTGAAAACAACATAAGTGTGACCATTTCCCAAAAGCAGAAGTTTAGTATTCGTGAGATATCTCCAGAATGATGTTATACCTCTGAGGGTGCTAAGGTATGTCGTGAAGATGAGGTTTATTAGTTGATATTTCATCGAAAAACTTAAACTTTTATGTTTCTGATAGATTTCCGGTGAGTTATATCTACTCATGATTCGAAATCTGCATGCAGATCTTCATTGTTGGGTCTTTCCTATGCGACCCATCAGATCAGAGTCTTCATGATTGGAGACACTCAAGTCCCAGCTCAGTTGATTCAGGAAGGAGTCTTATGCTGCCATGCCCCCCTCCTCACCTGCAAGGAAAAGTCCACATCATCGTTACTTGTGGGAATCGGGAATCCTGCAGTGAAGTCAGGGAGTTCGAATATCGACCTAAAACAGATGCTAATAAAAGCTCAGAAGAACTCTTATTGCTAGTCCGATCGTGCAGATGCTACTACTATCGAATGCGCTTCAATATGATGATGCTTTAGAATCAAGAATCGGTTTATTGGGGAGATCGAGAAATTCTGAGGACTTGTGGAGCCATATTATCGATGCTCTATTAGTCGACAACACTTGAACATCGAGCACTCTTGATTGGCTCCTACAGGAACTTCTCAAGGACAAGCTGGTAATGTGGCTTTCGTACAGGTTACAAACGAGTGCCAACAGAGAGTGCTCATTGTCCAAGAAAGAACAAGGTATTATACACACGGTTGCTGGGTTGGGATTTGAATGGGCATTGCAGCCGATTCTGAATGCTGGAGTGAGCGTTAATTTTCGCGACATTAATGGATGGACAGCTCTGCATTGGGCTGCACGATTCGGGAGGTATGTGTGTGTGTGTGTGTATTTCTTATAAAGTGATATTGAACAAACAAAAGAAGATTATATTTTATTTATTGAAAATAAATATTTGTAACTCGACAGTCGAATCAAAAAAATCGAATCTACCGATCCACCTTTATAGTAGGAGGAGCCTTGGTACTTAATTCAATGGACATAAATATTATTGATATTAGGGAGAAAATGGTGGCGTCGAGTGCCTCTGCCGGAGCTGTGACATCAATCGCCGCCACAAGGGACTCGCCGGAAATGGCTCTCACCACCCACCTCCCATCCCGAGACCCCCAACTCTCAGCGTGGGGTCGGTTTGTGCGGCAGCCGGTTGATGATGATGACGAGGAGTGCATATTGAAGGTGTTTAGGAGCAGAAAGTGGATGGAGCTATAGACGAGGCCATAGGGAAATATTAATGTTAGTCGATTTGTGTGGTTTGTGATGGATGTATGGGTTTATTGTATGATGTGGCAGGCGGAGCTGGAGACATCTGTGTCTGACATGGCACCATCGGCTTCTTCTCGACGTCACGTTTCTTCGTCGTGCCTAGTGGGGAACCATGAGATTTATTAAGCAGTAATTGTCTCTGTAGAAAAAGAGGTTTAAGAGTGTAAAATCTTGTGAAAATGCATAACGTTGGTTTTTTAGTTTGTTAATTTTTATGGCTAATAAGCATATTAATTACATCACAGACAATGTGTCACTTGTGATGTATTTATTTTGTGAGTGATTTGAAGGGACAACCAACCACACATATTGATATTGTTGGCAATTTCCAAAGGAATAGTCTACTTTTAAATATAGATATATTTTTATTTGTTTTCAAACGACAGACTTTCATAATTACAAGCGAAAAACAACCGATAACAGTCGGAATGAACAGCTACGCAGCTGAAATCCTTGAGAGGACAATCCAGAAAGCAAGCCTAATCCGAACACGCACAACGCTGTTATGACCCAAGCTGGTTTTTACTAAATGTTGTAGTTGCTTTTATTTTAATTTGGTTCTGTGAAATTATGAGTTGAACAGAAGAGAAATAAGAGAGAATTTGAGAGAGAAAGGGAGGAATTAGAGAGATGAACGAGAGAGACAAAATGATGGCATAACCGATTGATTCCTTTTTCATTCATTACTCACGTATTTAACAAACTTGCTGGGCCCCATTTGCTTTTCACTCAGCTGGGTAAAACCCGCACCACATTTTCACTACCAGAAATGCTAAATAACAAAAAAAGAAATTCAGGGAAAATCCAAAATAACAAAAAGGCAAAAATAAAAATATCATTGATAATTCTTAATCTAAGTCTTCAGGCTCCTTCCACGTGTTCCGTGAGATTGCTTTCCCCGGCCTTCTGAATGACGGTCCCGATATCCCCATGTGGCGAGTTCCCCATCTCAATCCCCCTTTCAGACAAAGCCCTGACTTTTGTCTCTTCATCCATTTCTACTGAATCGATAAACTTCCTCTCTCCCTCTTTCTCATCTCGCATCTGCTTCGCATTTCCCAAATCATCAACCTCATCATGCAGGTTCATAACATTTCCCTTTCCTTCTTTAGATCCTTGACCCCAAGGATCAAAACCTTTGAATTTCTTTTTCAAATGCTTCTCGTCTTCCCAAGAACAAATACCCAACGATCTGTCTCCCCAGCTCACAAGAAATTGCTGCACCTCTTCATGTCCTCTCCTTATGGATCTGCGAGCAATGGCTTCTGTGGGCTCTGCTTTGAAGTGGCCATCAGGGCCCATCTCCGGTAACTTTGAAACAGATAAGTTCCCTTCGTTTATCCTCTTTTTTAATAACGAAACATGAAACACTGGGTGGATCTTCGAGCCCTCAGGAAGCTCTAATTTGTAAGCCACTTGACCAATCCTCTCTATGACTTTGTAGGGTCCAAAGTACCTCGAGCTCAGCTTGATGTTTCTTCTCAGGTGGACAGAATTTTGCTTGTAAGGTTGTAGCTTCAGGTAAACCATTTCCCCTACTTCAAACTCCTTCTCAACCCTGTGTTTATCAGCATACATCTTCATTCGGTTCTGAGCCTCCACCAAATTAGCCTTTAGGTTCTGCATCATCATTTTTCTGTCTAGAACAAGTTCCTTAGCCTCCTGATTTGAGGAATCCAAATAGGCTTTAATTGACAGGATGTTAGGTGAGTAGCCATAAAGTGCCTGAAATGGTGTTGATTTCAATGATGTGTGGTAGTTAGAATTATACCAATACTCTGCCATAGGCAACCAATTAGCCCACTTCTTAGGTGACTGATGTATCATGCATCTCAAGTAGTTCTCCAAGCATTGATTTAACCTCTCAGTCTGCCCATCAGTTTGTGGGTGGTAGGCTGAAGAGAAACTCAGAGTGACCTCAATGAGTTTAAACATTTCCTTCCAAAAATTGCTGGTAAATATTTTATCCCTGTCAGTCACTATGCACACTGGCATCCCATGAAGCCTGTAGATGTGGTTTAGGAACAATTTAGCTACCCCTTGTGCAGTGTAAGGGTGAGAAAGTGCTATAAAATGACCATACTTAGTAAGTCTGTCAATGACCACCAAAATAGTATCCTTTCCTCCTGATTTGGGTAAACCTTCAACAAAATCCATGGAAATGTGGCTCCAAGGTTCTTGGGGTATGGGTAGAGGTTGTAGTAATCCAGGAGTGGGATCATGGTTTGGTTTGTTAGTCCTGCATATATCACACCTTGAAACAAAAGTAGCCACCTCCTGCTTCATCCCCACCCAATAAAACACTCTCTTTGTTCTCATGTATGTGCCCTGGACTCCTGAGTGGCCCCCAATTGATGAATTGTGCATGTAAGAAATCAGATCCTCCTTTAGCTTAGGATTTGATCCTATGTACAACCTTCCCTTGTATCTGATAATGCCCCCTTGCAGAGTGTAATGGGGCACAAAGTTAGGTGCCAACACCAGCTTTTCCCTTAATTCCTTACAAGTTGAGTCCATATCATAACTGTCCACAACCTGTTGTGTCCATTTGGGTACCAACGAGGTGATGGCTGCACATTCCTCAGAGTTAATCCTTGCTCTAGATAGGGCATCAGCAGCTCTATTCTCTTTCCCTTTCTTGTAATGAACCTCATAATCCAACCCCAAAAGTTTATAATTCCCTTTTGCTGCCAAGGTGAGTTGGCTTTTTGGTCCAGGATATATTTGAGAGATTGTTGATCTGTTTTAATAATAAACTTGTGCCCCAAGAGGTAGTGTCTCCATTTCTGAACAGCTAACAAAACTGCCAAGAACTCCTTTTCATAAACAGAAAGAGTCTGATTTTTAGGGCATAGTGATTTGCTCAAGAAGGAAATGGGTTGTCCCTCCTGCATTAAAACTGCTCCAATACCATAACCACTTGCATCTGTCTCAACTATAAAGGGTTTGGTAAAATTGGGTAGTGACAACACAGGTGCAGTTGTCATTGCCTCTTTGAGTTTAGCAAAAGCCTTATCTGCCTCTTTCCCCCACCGAAACTGATCCTTTCTCAATAGAAGTGTAAGGGGTTTGCTGATTTCTCCATACCCTTTTATAAATCTTCTATAATAGCCTGTCATCCCCAGAAATCCCCTCAACTGTTTGATTGTGGTTGGTGTGGGCCACATCAGCATACTCTCTATCTTCTTGGGGTCAGTGGATACCCCTTCTGCTGAGATGATGTGTCCTAGATACTCCACAGAGGAGTCACCAAATTGACACTTACTTTGTTTAGCATAGAGAGTGTTATCCCTTAGCAACTGAAGCACTATTCTCAGGTGTTCATAATGTTCCTCCCATGATCTACTGTAGATCAGAATGTCATCAAAAAATACCAGCACAAACTTCCTCAGACAATTCTGAAAAACTTGATTCATTAATGATTGAAATGTAGCTGGGGCATTACACAACCCAAATGGCATAACAAGAAACTCATAGTGCCCACTGTGAGTTTTGAAGGCAGTGAAGTACCTGTGATCTTCATTCATTAAAATCTGAAAATAACCTGACCTCAAATCAATTTTTGAGAAACACCTTGCACCCTGCAATTCATCCAACAACTCCTCAATCACTGGAATTGGAAACTCATGCTTAATTGTGAGGCTGTTTAGGTATCTGTAGTCCACACATAACCTCCAAGTCATGTCCTTCTTTTTTACAAGAAGTACTGGGGCAGCAAATGGTGATTTACTGTTTTGTATGATACCAGACTTAAGCATCTCTTGCACCATCTCCTCTATATTATTTTTCTGGTCATAGGACACTCTGTAGGGGTACTGTTGTTTGGGTAGACTGCCTGCTTTTAGTGTTATATGATGCTCAATTTCCCTTTTTGGGGGCAAGCCCTTTGGTTCCTGAAAAATGTCCTGGTACTCTTCTAAGAGAGGTTGTAGGATCTCCCTACCACATGTTCCCTTTGCTTCCATAGTTAATAGGTACATCTCCTCAATTTGATCTTCCTCATCAGAATGAAGCATATAGTGTAAGGAGTGTTCAGAAATTTGATGGCAATTTGCTGCTGGATTCAAAGCTTGTAGGATAATCCTTTCCCCCCTGAGGCTGATAGTGACAGTCATTTTGTTGTAATCCAGCTCAATGGGGGTGCAAGTTCTAAGCCAGTCTCCTCCCAATATGATATCACTCCCCTCACTTTGCAGTACCCTGAGAGAGTGTGTGACTTCTTGGCCTTGCAAAGCCCATTTGAGGTTTGTGGCCTGCAAGTGACTGATAAGTTTCTGTCCATTGGCCACCTTAACCTTCAAAGGTTTGACTGGGGTTAATAGACACCCCAATGACTTGGCTGTTGACTCTTTAATGAAACTAAGAGTGCTCCCAGTATCCAGTAAGATGTGCAGTCTCTTATCCCCAATGTACCCATAGAATCTCATGGTAGTCAACCCTCCTTCACCTACCATAGCATTCAGGGAAATGTGCACTTCCTCAATGGCTTCATTGTCCCCAACTGGTTCTAGGTTGCTCAGGTTTTCAGATTGAAAATAGGCCAACTCTTCATCTTCAGTCATTATCATGTAATTTATCCTGTGTTTGCATCTGTGCCCTGGCACAAACTTTTCATCACAATTGTAGCATAATCCTCTTCCTCTTCTTGCAGCCATTTCAGACGAGGTGAGCAATTTGGTGTTTGCTCTCTGAGGAGGGGTCAGTGGATTCCTGTGAATAGGGTTGCTGGTTTGGTTTGCTTTCTGTGCATTTGGGTGCTGCATCTGTGAGTAAGTCCTCTGAGTGTTCTTGACCCTTTTTGTGATGGCATCCAGTGTATGTAATTGTTGCTGGCCCAACTCAATTGTCTGCTGCAAAGTTCTAGGATTAAACATGTGTAAAAAAGCTTGTAACTCCTCACTAAGTCCACTTATGAAACTGGCTATAAAATATTCCTCGGAAAACTCTCCTTGATTCATGAGTTGCATGCATGCTTTCAACTCCTCAAATTTGTCTACATACTCAGCATAAGATCCTGTGTGCCTTAACTTATTAAATTCAGCTATAATCTTAACCTCCCTGAGCTCTTCAAACCTGGCAGATACTATTTCAACAAATTGACTCCAATTCAGTTCAAGTTGTTTTGCACTCAGGTTTTGAAACCATAGGGCAGCCTTGCCTTCTAGATGCATTGAAGCCAGTGTAACTTTCTGAGTTTCAGAGATATTAGGCATTAATTTGAAATACCCATTGCATTTGAGGACCCATGCCCTAGGGTTGGAGCCATCAAACCTGGGAAAGTCAATTTTTGGGGCTGGGCTCATGTAATGATTGTGTTGCTTGCCTGCTTGCTCCTGTTGTAGCTGCAATTTATGCTTACCCAGTATGGACCCTTCCTCATCACTGTCCTTGTGTAAATTTAGAAGCTGGAGTTGCATGGATGCTATGGTATTTGCCAAATTATCAAGTTTACTAGTTACCTCAGATTTCTGCTCAACTAGCTCTCGGCTAACATTCTCAACCACCCCTTTGATTTGCGAGCTGATAACCTCCATTTTCTCTTGCATTTTGAGCTCTGATGCTTCCCTTTTAAGGATTTCTATCTGTAATAACTGATCCATTTTTTTCTGGACTTCTTGCAGCTCTCTTACTCTGGTTCCTTCAGCCATGATCCAAGGAAGGCTGGCTCTGGATACCAAATGTTATGACCCAAGCTGGTTTTTACTAAATGTTGTAGTTGCTTTTATTTTAATTTGGTTCTGTGAAATTATGAGTTGAACAGAAGAGAAATAAGAGAGAAAGGGAGGAATTAGAGAGATGAACGAGAGAGACAAAATGATGGCATAACCGATTGATTCCTTTTTCATTCATTACTCACGTATTTAACAAACTTGCTGGGCCCCATTTGCTTTTCACTCAGCTGGGTAAAACCCGCACCACATTTTCACTACCAGAAATGCTAAATAACAAAAAAGAAATTCAGGGAAAGTCCAAAATAACAAAAAGGCAAAAATAAAAATATCATTGATAATTCTTAATCTAAGTCTTCAGGCTCCTTCCACGTGTTCCGTGAGATTGCTTTCCCTTGCCTTCTGAATGACGGTCCCGATAGCCCCACGTGGCGAGTTCCCCATCCCAATCCCCCTTTCAGACAAAGCCCTGACTTTTGTCTCTTCATCCATTTCTACTGAATCGATAAACTTCCTCTCTCCCTCTTTCTCATCTCGCATCTGCTTCGCATTTCCCAAATCATCAACCTCATCATGCAGGTTCATAACAAACGCACCCACAAATTCCCAACAAGAGAATAAACTATACACACAACAAAACAAAACACGAAAAAACACTAAGAACACAACAAAAAATACTAGAATAAACCCCTCGCCGCCAGCAAACCAGCAACCCCAGGTCCTAAGGCAGCAGCACCGAACACATAACAAGAAATTCCAGACCTAAGTCGGCTAACCAGTAGCCGCTCGAATACCACAGACCCTTCCAACAACAATTGTCGTTGGAAAAACTCGGGCTGCTCGCCACAAGGCACCCCACACACACACCGATGACCGCCGCCTCTCCCCATCCGAGACCAGGGCAGCCCCAATCGATGGAGCCCACCGATCCCAACACTAGAAATCGGCTGGACCCAAGCGTGCGCTTGCAGTGAGACTCCGGCCGGCCCCAAACCGCTGCCAAGACAGAGCTCGGAACCGACGGCGTAGGAGAACCCGCGACTAGCCGAAAAATCCCCTCCCCCAGCCATGGCCACCGCGAACACGGAGAGGCGCCACAACCGAAGAGGGCCCGTCGGGACGCCAGTCCTCCACCACCGACCCGAATCAGGTTGAATTTGCCGAGAAAACGCCGGCAGAGGGCCCTGCAGAGAAAAATTGGCGCCGACCAAGTAAAGGAAAAGGGGATCTCGGATGTTTTGATGAGGAAGGGTAAAAAAAAAAGAGTTTTATTAAATGTTTTTATGCTTATTTAAATAAAAATTTTCACTATCTTAAGTATATTAATATATATTTGATCAAAACATGTTACACTATTATACATAAGTCAAGCCATCCGATAGCTCCATAGCAAAACTGTTCACTTATACAAATATTCTATGGAGCCATGGTTTTCTTATGGATCCATCCATCACTTAATGTATTGACACCTGTTTAAAGTGTAATTATTGTAGGACATGTGTCAATACACTATTTGTGAATAAATGTGAATGGCTCCATAAGTCGAACCATCCGATTGCTCTACAGCAAAACCGTTCATTTATATTAGACATCCACGGTTTCTTATTGTTCGGGCTTGAAGGAAAAGAATGACGTAATTTTATTATATTATTTGTTTTTAAAAAATTGACTTTTATTTATTTAGTTATATATTTTTATATCCGTATCATTATTATATTATCTATATATATATAAACAGGTTGTTGGAAAACTACATTAATAGAAAGTTTGACCAAATAAATAATGTTTGACTTACTATTAATGGAAAGTTCGAAAAAACAGATGTGAATCTATAGTAACAAAATCTGAATTCTATTTTTTTGGTAACAAATTTGGAGATTCTTGTGGAAAAATTTGAATTCCATTTTTTTCGTATTATATTTTATTTTCTTATCAAAATTTAAATCATATCTTTTTTAGTAACAAATTTGGAGATTTTTACGTAAAAAATGTGTCAATTATTTATGAAAACAATTCTAAATACAAATTAATTTAAAAACCTTGCAAATTGGATACAAATTTAAGAAACATATAGTTGTATAATTCTTAACAAATTCTTCTAATCTTATTGAATATTTTTTTCTTTCAAAAAAAGTGTGTAAATTGGATAAAATCACGTGCAATTTTTATTTTAAAATAAAACTGATATTTGGACGGGATGTACATTTAAAATTGTGTCCACGTTTTTTGGTAACAAAAGCGGTTCATCTTTGATATTTATAGTCACCTTATTAAATTATTTAGGAAAAATTATGTGCAACTTTTCAAAATTTAAAGGCATCGATTTTTTTGAATTCTTATTTTTTTTCTTAACCGAGATTTTAGTAAGTTCTTATCATTTTTTTTTTGGTTAAGTTTATATCATTTTCTTTAGGAAAGAGACAGTTGCATAAACATTTACAAATTATTTCAATTTTTTATTAGAATTATTTTCAATTCAATTTGTTTGGTAAAAAATTGGTGCAATGTTAGGAAATTTCGGTTGTATTTTTAGGAAAAATTGATGATTTTTTTATTTGGTTTAAAAAAAATATTCGGATCAATTAGTTTGATAAAAAAAAATCAGTTTATTGGTAGAAAAATCGGTTTTATTTTCAGGAGTAACTAATGATGTTTTCAATTTTTCTTAATTGAAATTTAGAACTAGATTTAAAATAAATAATGAGTGAAAATCCCTAAAAATTTCTACTTTTTCTACTATAATTTTGTTTAATAAATAAGATCCTTTAATTTTTTTTTTAAAATTTGTTAACTAATAACAAATAATAATCAATTTTAGATAAAATTCGACCACCTATGTAGTACTTTACCTGTTAAAAAATCAAACCAATCTATATATATATATATATATAATAAGAATTAACATTTTTCAAAATTAGTAAGCAAAAAATTAGGGAATATAAATTGCATTTCATTTTTGGTATGTTTTTTTTTAATTTTTTTAAATAAAAAATCAAGTAGCATTTAATGCTACCACAAATCATGAGATTTGTTATATAGATGCATATTTGAATTTCAAACTTCAAACAAAACATGCCTAAATGTATTTTGAATTTTTTAGAGGAAAAATTTAACAAACACGTTAAAGATTTCATACAAAACATATATTTATATATATTATCTTAACATATAGGTTAATTAGTTTCATATATAAACAATATATATTTAAACAATATATAAACAAATATAATAATTTGTCGTACAATACAGACAAATATATAAACAATATATTTATATACAAATATAATAAACAATATAAAAAAATATACAAACAATATATAAACAAATATAATAACTTGTCACGTGTATATTTCGTACAATACATATATTTATATATATTATCTTAACATATAAGTTAATTAGTTTTATATCTAAACAATACATATTTTAGGAACTTAAAGATTCATAACATTACTAACGTCATGTATATTTATAATATATTGTCACGTACATTTTACTACAATTGGTGTTTTTTTAAAATTATTTGAATAACTGGAGATTGATTTGTAATTTGAATTTCAAATTCATTCAAACATTTAAAGGAAAATATCATAAGCAGATTTTTTGATACATTTCATTTTATCTGAACTTACATATAATCACATTCCTACCAAACATTAAATTTGCTTATGTCTTTTTAAATTAATTACACACTAAATAATATTAATATACATTACATATTTATCGTTATATAACAAATATATTACTTCTACAAGTGTTATAAATAATAATGACATTATATGATAATAGATTGTTTGATAGATTAATAATTGAGTATTATGATGAACCAAAAATGTAAAATTATTATTATTTTGTATTAAAAAATAAATATATATGTTAAAATATTATTTATAATAATATAAACGGGTCAGCATGCTATTACAATAAATTTTATAATAAAATAATATGAGTATTATACGAGGAACAAGATTACGTAAAATTGTTATTTTTCTTATATCAAGGAAAAAATATATATAATGAAATTAAATTTATATTATTATAAACAATTAATTAATTTACGCTCTAGCGCTACCACTACCAGGCTCAGGTTTAATGTCTCGACAAAAAAGATGACGTTGATGAAAGAGGTAAAAAAATAGATGATCAAACTCTATTATTTTTTTAGGCCTTAAGTGACAAGCCCTATTGTCCACTCATTTAATATCTCCCGTGAATCACGCGAGCTACTTAACAGACAAGCTCTGTGAAAATGACTCATTTAATATTTATGTCCTAGTAATGTTGTACATAAGGAAGTGTTTAATAACAAATTTATTTTCATGATATTTTTAATGCCATGAGATAATTTAAATACAAAAATACTTTTAAAATATAAGTAGGTAATAAATGCTACCGCGTGCACGGCTACCGTACAAGTTTTTATATAAGTTTTTATATAATATAAACTTTAGTTATATTTTCTATGATTTGATTTTAACCAAACCATTCTTCAAGTTGAGAATCCTAAAGAAAATTGCCTCATCCATTGCAAAAATCGGCAGATCCTTCCACCCCCGTTGGAAAACATCGATTCGTCCGCGTGTGAGCTCGTCAGTGCCTCTCAGCCGGACGATGACGGGATCCACATCTCAATAGGTTCCGAGATCCGACGGTGTTTCAACGTCTAATTACTAAGTGCCTTCGTCTTGCTTCGCCTGGTGTCCGGTGACTTATTTTTGCTTAGACCACCTACCACGTACATTCCATTTTCCAAGAAAAATAAAGTAACATTATAGCGAAAAACAAAATATATATATATATATATATCCAGTGGTGGAGAAGATGAGGCAAAGGAGAAACCATGTAATCCCATTGCCTGCTGGTGTTGATGACGTTGACAAATTCACCTGCACGAACCTTCACATCAACAATTCACACCCATCTCTATCCACAATCTTTATGATCAATTCATTGCTTGTACAAACATATTTCAACCCGGATGAACACTGGCAGGCTCCTGAAGTAGCTCACCGAATTGCATTTGGGTAAGCCGAAATGTAACTAGCTATATTCAGATTCTTAGTTTCTTACTTTATATGAAGAAAAAATAAAATTGATGGTCTCAATTTTCAGATATGGGCATTTGACATGGGAATGGAACAAGGGTATAAGGAGTTACTTGCATCCTGTTCTTTTTGCTGCTCTATATAAAGTTCTTGCACTTTCCTATCTGGATAACTCTTGGTTCATGGTACTTATTTCTTCTATCTTAATTTCAACAATGTCCATCAATGTCATTTATAACTCGTCTTAGAATTTGATTTATTTTTTTTTTTTCCGAAAAGCTTCTTTTTTTTACACATTTTATTGCCACCTGATGAAGCATGATACCTTGTAAATTGCTAAATGCTTTGATAGAATAACTTTGATGTGATTTTGTAGTCTGTCTACACTGTTATTGTTTGTAGATCAACTCCCAATACAAATGTGTGACACTTTCTTATACCATCGGCCCATCTTTCACAGATAAGGGCCCCACGTTTGCTGCAGTCTGTATTCTCTGCTATTGGTGATCTCTACTTGTACAAATACTCAAAGGCGTTGTTTGGCGACAATGCTGCCTGTTGGGCTGTATCCTTGTTCGTTCACCTCTGGATTAAACAAAAGATTTTGCCCTTTCTTTTCGGAGTTCACTTTATTTTAGTTCATGATGTTCTGATTAGTTCTTGTTTAGAGCTTTCACACAGTTCCTGATGCATTTCTCTTCCTTTCTCTTTTCTTTTTTCCCCTTTTATAATGTTTTTAAGAGTTGGAACGATATATTTTGTAGTGCTTAACCTAGTGACAGCTCTTTGCGCAGCTGACCAACTGGTTCATGTTCTTCTGCATCACTCGTACTTTATCTAACAGCTTAGAGGCTGTTCTTACCATGGTGAGTTTATATTACTGGCCCTGCATGAGACCCTCGTCTTGTTCAGTTGCATATGATTCGAGAAAACGTGCTCTGGCTGTAGCTGCATTGGCATGTTAAAGTATGCATTGTGCTTATTCCTGCTGTTTATTGTGCTCGTGAACTCCTTTAGAATTTCCATTTCTCTCTAATTTTAGTTAGTTTTAGTGTATTATTATTTTGGAGAACTGATTATACATTTCAATTATGTATAGGGTAAATACATAATTGAAATGTTTTATGGGATTAAGTTAGTTCATTGAACAATTTTTTATGGGAGTCCCCTTCTGGACCAAAATTGCCAGCTTGAATGTTTTAAAAGCTTATCTGTGACCTTCAAATACTATTTTGCAGTAGTATAAAGTGGTTTATGGACTAAGAAGCTAATATTATCACTTCATGTGCACGTCTGAGAATATTAACAGTGAAAATTGACGAGTGATAGTTAAAGATATACCTTCCAGTAATTCACTGCAGTAGATGAGTTTCAAGAAAAGGGTATCATACCATGTCTTTTGATGTCTCTTGAACCTAATTTGTGTATTGTTTTCAGAGTAATCTTTTCACTTAGTCCGTACTATTAATTTCTGAAAGATAGTGCTATTGCCTGCTTTTGCCTCAGCGGTTATAGGTTATCTTTTGTAGGTTTATATTCTGCGTATATGAACACAAATATAATTATTTTGCACTCAGCATGTACTATCAGGGGGTTTGTGCTCGGTTTTACGCTCTTATTGGATCGTCAACTTTATGGGTCGTGGGTTATTGTGCCCCTTAACTTTGTAAAGTTCAATTTCCTTTCTTCTGGAGGGGACTATTATGGAACTCATGCATGGCATTGGTATATCACACAAGGCTTCACGATCATGCTATTCACATATATACCCTTTTCTATAGCCGGTATTATTATGTCCAAAGAGTGGAAGCTTTGTGGACATATAATATGGGTCTTGGGAGTATATAGCCTTCTCGGCCATAAAGAATTCAGGTACCATGGCATGACCTCTGATTATAAAATTCTTTATTTTTTAAGTAATAGTTATAGTACTTAATTAATAATTCTCATTATCTTCAGATTCCGAATATATCAGGTTTGTTCTTCCTGTGCTACCCGTAGCGTTGATTTTCTCAGGGATTCCATTAGCCAATTTACATCAACGTGAAATCTCGAAGAGGAAGCAAAATTGGAACTCTCATAAAAACCGCTATTCGAGGCTGCATTTGTCGGTCCTTTTCCTGCTTGTAACTAATCTTCCGATGGCTCTATACATGAGTATGGTTCATCAGGCATGTTAAGGTTGCTTGTTATTACATAGTTTCTTGTTTCTGTTTTTTTACGAGTTTCTCTGTTACACATATTATATAATAATACGTAAAAATAAATGTGGTTTAACAGAGAGGTGCAGAGGATGTGATGAACTATCTCTCGAGGGAGGCTAAAGACAATAGAGTAAAAAGTATCCTCTTTTTGACACCTTGCCATGCTACACCATACTATTCGACCCTACATAAGAACATCTCTATGCGTTTCTTGGATTGTACACCAAGGTACAACAACATAGAACTTGTGTATTGTGGATCTCATTGCAATTGCCATCATTGTATGATCTAATTTAAAAAAAGATCCTAAAATTTTGTTCTAAACAGGGAAGAAAGAGGAAACTTGGACGAGTCGGACCAATTTTTACACGATCCCCTTGTTTTCGTGACAAGACTTGCGAGAAATTGGACACCCCCCAGCCACATTGTGCTATTTGATTCCCAAGAAAAGCCGTCGAAGGAACTTTTAGCCTCTCACAAGTTTGATGAGGTTGGAAATGTTGGTTATAGTTTTATGGTCGTAATTATTTATATATTTTTGTTATATACTTGGATGTCAAAGTGTGCATATATGTAACTCACAGATGAAAAGGTTCTTTCATGCTCATTTCAAATTGGATCGGGAACTTCAAGGATCAATCGTTGTGTACAAGTCTCAAGGGCAGTGAATTGGAGTCTGGAAGTTTTGTGTCCCTTCGTGTACAGGTGTTTTGATTTTCTTTCTTCTCCACAATGTCATCAGTTTTGTACCATACTACCAAACTATACATAGATGGTTATGTATGTCTTTCTTTATTTCCTTTTCTCTTTAACACCAATGTTAAACACATATTTAGCAGACGAGACGAGTGTACACTGTGTTCCTATACAAGAAAGATTCAGTTATTTGATACATTTGTGGTTATTTCTGAAGACATTTTGCAGTACAAATTTATCACTATGTATTCAGATATGGCACAATCTGATTCTTCTCGACATCACATTTCTTCGTCGTGCCTAATCGGGAATGATGAGATTTATTAAGTAGCAGTGCTTGCTTTCTTCTCCTGTGATTGTCTCTGTAGAAAAAGAGGTTTAAGAGCATGCAAAATCTTGTCAAAATGCATAATGTACGAGTGATTTGAAGGGACAACCACACATTTTGTTGTTAATTTGGAAAGGAAGAGTCTCTTATTTGAAATTTGCTTCTCTTGAAATCAATCGAGCAATTACAAGATTGTTATGGCCTCAACTTAACAAATGATGATGCAAGTTAACCATCTTCTGAACTCATTTAATCGAGAAAAAACACCTGCGGTTTCTGCACATTAGTCCATTCACTATACTATTGAGTTATAGCTTTAAATTCATATAAACTAGCCATAAATAAATTAAATAAATATGACCACAAGATAAATGCCAATTTTACTACTTTTAATTTTAAAAAATATATCTTAATATTTTTTCAAATAAATACATTATTCATTTTAACTCAATTTTTTTTTTTCAACTCACTAGTAAATTTTAGAAAATATATATATATATATATATATATAATTAAACATATAATTGTCAAAAGGANAGCACCACCAATTTAGATGCGCACTACGAATTAAATTGGTTTTTATATTTATACTTGCATCAATAAATATCTAAATCCGCTAACAGAGAGAGAGAGAGAATGGAGTCCGACAAGAAGGTGAAGATTATTGAGAAAGCCATAAGAAACCTAATGGAGGAGGAGGAGGAAGAAGAAGAAGAAGAAGAAGAAGAAGCTGCTGCTAAAGGCAACAACTCATCGAGTTTCCCAAAAGCCTTACCTGAAGACCAAGCTTCTGCTAAAGCCACCAGCCGCAGGCAATTCCTCTCCGACCTACTCTCTGACGTACGCATATTTATTTACTTTCTCGCACAAAAAATAAAGTAAATTTTGCAATTTCTGACATTTTTTGTGTTCATTACCAGTTGGAATCAATGGAAGAAGAAGAAGAAAAAGAGAAAGCCAAGTCAGATGAAGTTGGAAATTCAGAAACAATAATGAAAGAGATTAGAGTCATAAAGAAGCAGAATGTGACGACACAGTGGCTATTGTCGGGGATGATCGTGCTCACGCTCGCCTGGCAGGTTTCGGAGGTGTCCCTCATCCTCAAAATCAAAGACGGCCTCACTAATCCCTTCAAATCCATCCGAGGATTCTTCAAAAGGAGTCGTCTCAATGATAACAATAACAATTTGCAGGATATGACAAGAGACATGTCAGAGAAGCAAAACCGGGTATTCGAGTCAACATCCCTTCCGGGCCTCAAAATTCCCCACTTGGAATTCCCAGGTTTCGACGATGCCGAGAGTGCACATTAGGAGCTTGCTTATTTGTTTATAATAAGCGAATTGTTTTGTGATTTCATAATGTGTCCCTGCAAAAAGGTCAAATGCCCTTGATTTCTTTTGGCCTTTTACTACAGTTTTGTTTTTGTACAACCAAGACTATAGAATGCTAATGCACCTGTTTCATTATAACTTATCAAGCTAACTTCACCAGCATCTGAGCATCAATCAAATCAAGGATAAATTGCCAGTTGACAACAAAATCAAGCAAATCTCAATCATACATGTCACAAACGTACACAGACCAAACAAATTCTTCCAATTGCAAAAAAATCACTGATAAAAGAGAAAAAAAAACTCGTTGATGCACAATCTCATCTTTCATTTCCAAATTTGCACCCTTCTTATGCGTAGTTCAACCGGAAGATGTCATTGAGCACATAATAGCCGCCCTGAGGGGTAGGCATCAGATGGAACATCTGTAAGCAAAGCAAAACACAGCATCATTATTGAGTTAATCAGTACAAGTCTTGTATAGAATATATGGAAAGAAATACAAAGTAGATTAGGAACTCTTGTATAGATTATGTTTCGAATATGGAAAGGAAAACAAACTTGTTCCGTAGAATAGGAACTCTTGTGTACAGATTATGTATCGAATATCCATAGATTGGGAACTTAACCATTAATGGCTCATTTTTGCATCTAAATTACCGCCATAATAATCCAAGGTCACATTTGGATTGAGGATTTGAAATCTCATTTAAATTTGCTACTTTCAAACTCCTTGAATTGGTTTATTGAAATGATTATAAATCCATTGTCTAGCTCGCATTAATGGTGGTGTAGGCTCACGGTTCATACTCGATAAACAATGGATTTTAAATGACTAGGTTTGAAGAGTCATTTAAAATCCTTCAAATAACTAAAAAGACTATCTTTAAATCCTCCAACTTCGATTTCAAATCAAATCCTCCAACGTCTATTACAAATCCCTCAATTAATCCTACAAATCCCTCAATTAATCCTCGATCCAACCGTATCCTAATATAATTTACCTATCAACTTATTCTTCATTCAAAATCCAGTCCTACAAAAAGATGGTGCACACAAGATCAAAGTGCTGTCACTAAATTAGTAGTTATCTTCACACTCCACATAAAGTAAAATGCTACAACTATTTCTTCCACCTTATTTTTGATAAGGATCCAAATTTCATCTGAACACATGAAACAACAGTTCAACGACCAATTCTCTCTAAACATTTAAACTTTAGTTAGTCATAACTCAGTTTGCAGCATAGTAGGTTTCCATCCTAACCAGCCAATGGAGATTTTAAGCCACGGTTATCTAAAATAGCCGTAAGTACCCCAAACCAACAGTCCAAGTCTTCAAGGATGCTTACATACATCAACTGTGGTCCATATGGAAGGATCAACAATTTTTTAGAATTGCATTTTCATTAAGCATCTCAAAACAAGCTTCCACAAATACATTGTCATTATTAGGGGAAAGAAACCATGAGGCCTCTGGTGAATGTCAGCTAGCTGCAGTTAGTACTTCAATTTATCACGAGTTAGGTTGCAAATGAATTACAAGCAGAACTCAAACAAGCACCAAAACCACAGTTCCACAGATTTGACAAATTCAATCTGGTTATTCAGCTTTTCCAATCTACCTTCTCCGGCCAGGCTAGGACAGACCAGTCTTACCTTCCTAAATCATATTCTCGTGTATGGATATCCAGCAAAACTAGATATGCAAACTCAAATCAAATTCGAAACAAGAAACATCTCGACTATCCTCATTCTTCACACTTAAGCACCAGAAATGTCAAATTTATGCGAAACCAAATCCACAGCAGAAAAAAATCCAATAAACGAGAATAATCACAATTCCACACATGCAAAATTAACGAACAAAAAATATGAAAACTTGCCTGACTAAACTTGAGGGGATGCTGCTCTCCGGCGATCTGAAGATTGCCGGAGACGAAAACAAGCATCCCACCAGCAGGGCCCGAGTGCTGGCAATCGACGGTGGAGACTTGATGCTGGCACTGCTGGAAGGGCAAGCCGGTTAGCTTAGCGGTGATCTGCTGGGGGCCCTGGAACTTCTGGCCCTCAAAGGTGAGCATGGACGCCTCCTGGTACAGATTGGCAAGCGCGGCCCGGTTCTGATCGAATGTCGTGTAGTAATGAGCAACGAAGGCCTTGGACACAGCTTCTGGATCCATCGCGACAATGGATATTATGATATCTTTTTCCAGTAATTTCAGGCTGCCGGCGGACGCGTTGTTGTTGGCTTGCCTAAGCTGACGGTGGCGGAGGACTTTATACAGAGCGCAATGAGAGGATTAATAGGGATGAGGTCGTAAGGGGGTAAAGATGTCATTGCATGTAGTTGCGTCTTTTGAACGCTTAACCTCGTTTTATACTTGGGAACGCTTTTGCTATTTCCATTTTGGGTTTTGTTTTCGCCTGGCTTTTGAAAAATTTAACTAGTACAGAGCCCGTGCGATGCACGGAGTGCACAATTTCAAGACTACTTTATCCAGGCTTATAATTATTTACATGAATAAAGAAAAATGTACGGTGGGAAAAAATCTTTTTCACCCCAATACAAAGATACATTAAGTTTTTCACACCGCCCACTAACAATCTAACTTTTTCACCCCAGAAAGTGCGAAGGTTATGCGAATGACTGCATGACTATCGCATATCAAGTGCATAACTGTCGCATATTCATCGCGCAATGCCTTCGCACTTTAACTTTTTCCACCCCAGAAAGTGTGAAGGGATATGCGAATGCCTTCGCACTTCTAACTTTCGCACAATGTCATCGCGCAACTATCGCATATTCATCGCACAATGCCTTTGCACTTTAACTTTTTCCAGCCCAGAAAGTGCGAACGGATATGCGAATGCCTTCGCACTTCTAACTTTCGCACAATGTCATCGCGCAACTATCGCATATTCATCGCACAATATCTTTCGCATTTTCTGGGGTGAAAAACTTAGCTTTTTATTGGGCGGTGTGAAAAACTTAGCAGGACTTCAAAATGGGGTGAAAATAACTATTTTCACTATATATAGTACGTGACCCGTGCGAAGCACAGAATATATTTATTTGGAGAATATTATATTATAAGATACAATATTCAATAAAAGTTTATAATACGCAAGAAAATTGTACAATGTTCAATAAAAGTTTTATAATATTCAAGTGGAGTCTTAAAGTCTCTTGTACATTAAGACTACTGACAAAATAATATTTTAATCAATGAGTTTTCTTTCCTTGTAGCCAAATTGTGAATGTGATTTGAGGAGTACAACAAATCGATATATAGCTCACTTGCTTTTTTCATTGTAGTTTTTTTTCTTTTATTTTTATAATGACTTTAAAGATATTATAAAATATAGCAAAAATTAATTTTTTTTGTTCATTATAATTAGGAATTTTACTAAATATAAACTCTCAATCGATGGTGTTAATCAACGTTTAAGTCTAAAAAATTAAGAATTTTTACCTCTTTTAATCAACGTTTAAGTCTAATAAACAATAGAGTTATAATAAGTTTTTTTCTACATCTTTTAAAACATTAAATATGAGCATGTTAGGGCTAGCTTGTAAAATAATTAATATATTATCTCACTAAAACATTCATACTAATAAAAATTTAATTTTAGCATATAAATTTATCCCTTGATATAAGAGAAAGTAACAGTTTTACTTATTGTTGTTCACCATATAATATTTAATTATTAGTTTATTATATAATAAAAAAGAAATATTATTAAATAGTGTAGTAGAATTGTTATAAAATTATATGAATTTTTTTTTACAATATGGATTTAATATTTTTTTATGATTTGATAATATAAACAAATCTATACTTAACTTTGATAAATAAAACAAATAAATACTTTAGTAAGTATTTAATGTATATACTAAATAGGAATATATTTGGCATAATCAAATACCGATCAAGTACCAAATATAATCAAATAAGTCAAAGTGTATATTTTTCTTTGGTATTTAATTTTTTTATTATTAAAATATTTTTATTATACTTATATTTTTAAAATAAAATAAATAAATAAATAAATTAAATAAATAAAATATTATAATACCAAAATAATAATGACATTTAATGTAGTTGACTTTTCTAGATAGTAAATGTAGTAAATAGAATCTCCTTTTATAAGTATAGATTGTATAATACGGAAATAGTAATGTAATAAATGTTGTTGACTTTTTTGCCTACTTAATTTGGTAAATAGGACTCCCTTTAATATAAGTATAGATTGTTAATACAAAAACTGTTTCTCATACTAAAAGATTTTTTATGAAAATAATTGATTTGGGTGTCTATGAAATAATATTAATTATTAAGAGATAAAAGATGCAAATTGTAAATAAAAATAGTACGTAAAAAAAAGTTTATAAACGTCGACAGCAGGGTTCGAACCTGCGCGGGCGAAGCCCAACAGATTTCAAGTCTGTCTCCTTAACCACTCGGACATATCGACTTACTGCTTGTTTGCGTCAATAAAATTTAATAGTTTGCAATATTTGACATCCCCGTAATCGCTTTAAGGCTCATGAGTCATGTCATTGAATCCAGAGCCATCGTCTGACTCTCATATTCCACATTGAATATTATTCTAATCACAGTATTACGAAGAAGCACTTGCATGGCATCTTATAAAATGTTTTTAGATATGTTATTTCTCAAGTGAAATGTACGGTGTGGCCTTGGAGTACTTATCGGCATTGGTTGTAAAGCAGCTTCTATTGTTGTCAATCCTAATTTGCTAGTGAGTTCTTAATGTTGAACATGATTGAGATTCTGCCATGTCCCCCGAGTAGGAGTTTCTGGTTCAAATTCAATGCCCAAAAAAATTCGTCTTCACTGAAAGAAACCAACCAACAAACCGCGAATTTCAGGCCTTTCTCGATATATTCCTTGGTCTTTATACTCTCGGCCATTTTGAACATTTGAACATGTTGATAGGAAGATGACGGGATTTGCCTTCTCACACCAGATAATGCATTTTCAGAATAATACATTCGCTTCCATAACAAAATAAGAAAAAAACCAGACTTGTAAAATGTTTCCCATATAACTCCTCAAAAAGCTTCCATCTGCGATGTGGCTACGAATGCCTCCATAACCTCATTCTCCTTATTCTACATATGCTACTAATACAATCTCTACATATGCTACTAATCTAACCACGCCATCATACAAATCTAAAGTTTTATGAAGCCTGTGGAACAAATTCACTNATCCATTTTTTTATTTTTTTTCCTGCATTGTGGAAGGCAATCAAGAGCGCAGCTCGTAAAATTCAGGGCAATGAACCAAAGAGAGTTTTGGCAATCACGAGATTATTAATTAATCAGCATTACTCACAATTGGGCAGGAAAAAAATATGCACAATCAATTTATAGACTCCTCTGGTTGGTTCTTTTTTTTTTCTTTTTTCTTCATTTACTCATTCTGGTGATTGTCATCGGCTCCCGTGTGGAAGAATCGGGAGACTTCCCTGTAGAGCTGGTCGGCCTCAAAGGGTTTAGAAACGTAACCATCCATGCCACACTTGGAGCATTCCTCGCTCGTCGCCTGGATGACATCAGCAGTCATGGCCAGAATGGGGACGTGCCAATTTGATACGTTTCCATAGGATTCCAGAGAGAGCCGCCCGTCCTCTATGCCCTTATTTATGCCAGATTCTATGTCCCTTATTCTCCTTGTTGCTTCAAACCTACACGTTGTTTTTGTATTTGTTATCGGATAATAAAGACATGGTGAAAAATGGGCATCAAATGTGCATTTTACTACTCCATATGGCAACCAAATTGTAAAAGAGTAATTAGGGAAGCAGATCTGGTCACCCGTCCATCTCCGGCATTTGAATATCCATAAAACAGGCGTGAAATAGATGAGGTGGCGTAAGCAGCGATATAGCTTCCTTCCCCCTCTCGGCATGCACCACGTCAGCCCCATACTTTTTGAGGCAACCGGCGGCCACTCTGAGATTGACCCGATTATCATCCACCACCAAAATCCTCCTCCCTTGCAACAGGCCGCTCAGCGAAGACAGCTTCTTGTGCAGCAGGTCTTGGGTCCCCCGATTCCCCCTCAACCCCCCCATTGCCCTCTGCAGCGTGGCCCCCACCATGCTCACCCTCAGCGGCTTCACCACCACCGCCACCGCAGGCACTGGCGGCGGCCCTATCCCCGGCGAGTTGGACAAGATCAGAATCTTGGGCTGCCACGACCCCTTCCCCAGCTCCTCTACGTTCCGTTCCCACATTTCCTCTTCGACAAACACAATTTGCACGGGCTTTTTCTTCAGCCCAGGCCCGACCTCCGGGACTACCTCGACTTGGATCCCGAGCCGCTGGATGTGGTATCGGGAGACCTTGGCCCGCACGGGGTTCGAGTCCACGAGGAGGGCCCGGGTCCCGTGAAACTCGGACGAGTTGGGCTGCTGCTGCTGCTGCTGCTGCTGCTCGGCCGTGAAGACGGCGGTGAAGGTGAAAGTGGACCCCACCTGTGGTGTGCTGGCGAGCCCGATCTCGCCCTTCATCAGCTGGACCAGGCACTTGCTGATGCTGAGGCCGATGCCCGTGCCGCCGTGGGTCCGTGTGATGGAGGGCCCCACTTGCATGAACGGGTTGAACACGCGTGATTGGGCCTCCACTGGGATTCCCTGACCAGTGTCCTCCACCGACACCATCACGTTCACCTGGTCTGGGGAGGATCCGGCCAGGGGAGTATTATTATCCTGGCTGAAGACCCGAAAACGAGACCAGCTTCGCCTCCGGTCAACCACCGGCAGCCCGCTCAGCGAGCTGCCGGTTTCGGCCTCTGTTTCCATGACTTCCTCCACCAGGTAAACCGTCACAAATATGTGGCCTTTGTCCGTGAACTGCACGAGTGGAAATAAAATAATTAGAGACTTCTCTGGGGCTTTTCTGTGAATGTTATAAACCACAAATTTACGGTGTCCGAATGGGATGGACAAAAGGGGACATTCGATTTACAAAATGTGCGTTGAAGAATAGAAACTAAAGTTACGATTTATTAAGATCGATACAATAAACGCACCTTGATCGAGTTTCCCACCAGATTCGTAACAATCTGTCGGAATCTACCTGGATCGCCAATCAGTGTTGAAGGGACTTTACTAGACACGTAAACTGCCAACTGCTCTCGCAAGCGTTTATAGATAATAATCACAACTTTTGTTAGACAACTGTACAAAAAGTAGAAGAGAATAATAAAGGGAAAACAAACTTATAATCTACCTCGACTTTTTTATCTTGTGATTTTCCAGAAAACAGCGACAAGACATCGTCGAGGATTGCCCTTAAATCAAAGCTAACTGCTTCGAGCTCAAGTTTACCAGATTCGATCTTCGCTTGGTCCAAAACCTCGTTTATGAGGGAAACTAAGGCTTTGCCACTCTCCCTTGCAGTTCTCACATAATCTTGTTGAGTTTCATCCAGACGTGTGTCCATAAGCATCTGCAGCATTCCTGAAAAGATAAAAAAGGCAAAGAGACTATCAGAACCAAGTAGGAATCAGATTCTCATAATCCAGACAGAGAGATTGAACGTTTTTGTACACTCACCAAGAACACCATTCATCGGGGTTCTGATTTCATGTGAAACAGTAGCAAGAAACTGCAACAGGAAAAAACTAACTAAATTCAGTTTCACAATTTTGACTGCTTTATACTTAAAACAAATAAATAGATCACTAATATATATATATGAAGCAACAGCAGTCTAAAAACCTGTGACTTAGCAACATCAGCAGCCTCAGCACGTCTCTTGAGCTCCATCATCTGATGATAATCATCCTCAACTTTTGCTATTCTGTTTACAGTAGCATAGATTATTTGCGCCACGAGCATATCAATTACGAGGATGCCAACTGATGTAAAAATTGCTGCCAATGGCCAAGGTTGCTTTTGTTTGAATCTGCATCAGTAAATAAATAGGTTTACCATTTTAATCAAATAAAAAAAGGTCTGCTTATTTATCCAGTCATCTTTCATAAAGCTTCACAATTACCTTAAANNNNCCTTAAAAAAATAGATATAGATATAGATATATATTATTACATGTAATAAAGAGAAAAACAGTTGAATCACCTGCAATGCATCTCATGTTTTCTGAATGGATCTCCAAAGTTAAGAGAACTAACACGGTGCAGACCATCAGATGAAGGGTTTGAACCATACATGCTTATAGGATCAGTGGAATTTGTCATATCATACACATTGACAAGGATAGTTTGTTTGCTAGCAAGCTGGTGAAGGAGTTTCTCCACAAGCGACTCTATATCAAATATACCACCGAGATACCTATTGGGATGAGTATTGAAATTGGAAAATAAGAAAAACATTGAACTTCATCTGTTTTCCCTTTTAAACAGACTTAATAAATTCAAATATGAAATTTTAAATGCAAATGACATACCCAGCAGTCTCTTGAATCCTATCAGAAAGTTTTGCATCAGGGGGAAGTTCTCTTTTGTAGACGGCAAAAGTCAGTATTACCCCTAACCGATTTGTTTTGAGTAATCTGAATGGGGCAGTGAGGACGCCTTTTCCGGATTCTCTTGCCCGCAATACGTTCTCGCGATCTTCCTGTTGGTAAAAGGATTTTGAATCACAGAGTATTCTTTCTTCTCATGCTTTTACTCTCAAATTCTAAAATTAGTAACCACATGTGATAGATGCACTGAGAACATTGGTCAGAATTAATCATATGAAGTTCACTCAATATCTGTAAATCACTAAAAGAAAGTAATTATTAGCTTCTACTAAGAATAAAGTAGTTTTAAATCCCATGCTTCCAATTATTCACCAAATATTCTCTTGTAACCATATATTACCACTTATTGACCCCCAACTACCTTTTGTTTCTGCGTCTATAAACCATTTTTTTATTTTTTTTCCAAAAACAGAAGCTTTTACAAATAGTTCAACTCTACTTCTAATTCTCCATCTTCATCATAGGCTTTACAAAGAAAATTTTCACACGCTAATAAATCTACACAATTAGAAGACCTTTGAGGTTTGTTTACCTTTCCAGACAGCATATCAACAGAAATAACATGAGCAACAGTTTCTTGTGCAAAGATGACGGGTGCATATTCCTCCTGCACCAGAGACGGCTCGAGGTCCGCTTGATTGTATTTGTCATCATGAACGGGATTTTTTTCGATTTTATCCATTCTCTTAATAGTCCATCCTTGTTGGGCCTCAAACTGCTCACGCTCGGAATGGAGCACTCTCACTGCATATGCTACCCCACTTGTGAGTGGTCTCTCGAACGATGTTCTCTCTGTGTACCTAGCAAACGTGCTCTGCAAATTCCCGGAAGTTGAACCATTAAGATAAGGCACTTGAGATTAGAAGAACCAAGAACAGCATCTGATTATAAATATACATTAAACTTATCAAAATTAACTTTGAATATCATATCATAGCTTCTACCGATACAAACAAACAAATCCGGGCATGAATAATATAATCCATTCACCTTCCCAGTTCAATCTAGTAAAGCATATATTCTCTCCTTCTGAACCAACCCAGTGCAAACACAAAACTCTAACCAAAAAAAGGTTGGCCAAAATACATAAGAGGACTATGAGTACTAATAGTTAATGAACAATTATCACGAGAAATGATCCGTGAACTGATAAAATCATCCATAACTGCCACAACGCCAAACGGTATCATTTTCAGCAATCATCCATCTCAAAAACTGCCTGTATGTGAAACACAAATGAGTAAATTACTTTTAGTCTTTTACCTGATCAATAGCAGATGGGTTTTTGCCATGGTGAAAGATTGAAATCATGACAGACATTGCCTGGATGTGATTCATGCTAACATTAAACTGATCTTGCAACATCCGTGCCCTCTCATCGCACATACTCGCAAGTGTTTCCTTTCTCTTCTCATTAGCCTGTGAGCTCATATACCAAAAGGCCGACAAAGAAACTATAATCCCCATTGCAAGCCATCCAATCAAAAACTTCCTCCACCAGTTGTTCTTCTCTCTCCGGGACCCAAAATACTGTGAATAATGGTGGTGGATCTTGCTAACACAATCCGAAACCCGATTCAACAATTTCTTCCACGCTTGCCCTTCATCACCAGGCAAACCAGACTTTGTGATCATGGCTCTCTCATTACTCAGCCAATTCAGGGAGATGATTGACAAAAACCAGCAACATAGCAACAAAAGAAGATGGCCCACCTTCAACCCGAATCCAATTATACGAAGTAAATTCATCAAGAAAGTACCTTTTTTCTTTAAAGAGTGGCCAGATTCAGCTATTCTCCAGAGGGTTTTTGCTATTATATTTGGGTTTTACTTTTACACAAACTCTGCCATCAAGTCTATAGTAAATCCCTAGCTAGACTTCAGCCCATGACCAAAAAATCCCATCTTCAAGCCTCCAAGAAAATGGATCAGCAGAAACCCTCCTCAAATCAGTGACTTGCCCAAGTTGCTTCAAACTTTAAACTCGAAGAACAGATGTTGAAGAAGATAGATTTTCTCAGGCTTCCCCCAGGAAGAAGAATGAAATAGCACTCAAGATTCCAACTTTATTTTTTCTTTACAAATATAATTCTCAAATCGAGATGCAAACAACATCAAATAGAAAAACAACAAAAAAAAATAAAAAATCAAATAAACCTTCAAACCCAAAAGACCTGCAGCCAAAAAAAAAGGAGATCTTGATTCAAGATCGGCACCTTAAGCTCTTGAAAATTAAACTAATCAGACAAGTGGTATTATGGGTATTCGAGTTTGACTCTCATGTAAGCTTAGCTGTTGGAGTTCCAAGACAGCAACTGTGGTAATAATAGGTTCGAAAGATTAATGATTTCTGCAGTAAATAATGTTGCCACTATGATAAAGGTGAGAGAGAGAGCGAAGATNGTTTGGTCCGGGCCGGTACCGGTTCACGGTTCGGCCCGTGGCCATGTCTAAAGCACACATAAATGTTGCATAAATGTTGTAATTTGTTGAGGGTCTAAAAAAAATAGTTACTTAAAGAAAAAAAAGAAAAAAAAAAAGAAAAAAAAAAAAGAGGAGAGAGAGAGAGAAAAATCACAGCTTTTTGCTTATTTTTGTTTAATGTTCATAACCCCTGGACAAGTCATACACGCCACCAAGCTCTCTTTGGTTCCTTTTCTTGTATGCATCTGAAGTGTAAAGTCACAACTACCCTTGAAACTAGGTAATTATATCATTAATAGCACTTTGTTTTTTTCCCTTTTTTTAGTGACCTTTCATCTTATGATAAATTTCATTGGACATTGGGAAGCAAGTTGAAAGGGGATGATAATAATAAATAAAGCAAGAAGTGTAAAAACATAGATGGAGCTATTAAGGTCCCATCTGTACCCTCAAGGGGTTATTGTGATATTTTTTAAGTTTTGCCTCTTTATTTTATTTAGATGGAATATTATGTAATGTGCAATTTGTGAAGTGGTTTGCAGCACTAAACCTTCTAGATGGACTAGTGAAAGTGTAAACAGTTTTTAACATTTGACTAACTTGTAATAAAATCAGCATATATGAATAATGAGCATTACAATTACACTAAAACAATGGCTTTTGTCCATATATAACCAAAAAAAATATGTTATTAAAAACAGAATTAATATATGTTATTCCCTATTGTAGTTCCTATTCGTATGCCAATGGAATAATGGATGAGAGATGTTGATCAATAAATTTGATGCAGGATTATAGCTAACTTTTTTCTATTTCATTTACATATAAACTAGTACAGTGTCCGTGCGATGCACGGGAGCATTTATTATCTATTTTCTTTTTAAAAGGTTTGCATTTAAATTGTCTCATCACATTAAAAATATCATGATAATAAAATTTGTATATTATTGAACATTTCCTTATGTACAACATTCTTACTTTGATTTTATGACACGTAAAATATTACATGGGTGTTCATGGCCCACCGGGGCTCCGACCCCCCAAGTGGGAAAGGCTGGTGGTTAAGACCATTAACATGGTTGATCATAAATTGTCAGGAGGACACCAAACACAGAACGCAAATTGATCATAAAAGACATTAACATGGTTGATCATCGGCGTGGCTCGATGGACTCAGATTCCCTTTCACATTATCAACCAACAGTGCCATCACCAGTACGCAAGTAGATGTGAATCTATATGTAAGACGGGAAGGGCAAATCCCTAGGACATAAGCACCCCTTTAAAATGGATTAACCGAACTCTTGCATCTAACCAAGAATTAGGGAAAAAAAAAGTGTTGGAGTCGAGAAAATAATCGTATATAACATGCTATGAAAATAAAAGATTCTATACTCGTCACCTGAATTATTTCCACGAAATGTATCATCGCCCACCAGTCAATTGGGACATCAATCGTGTTACCGATGAGGGGNAAAGTCGATGATGAAGATTGCCATGTCTAGGCAGAAATTATTAAAGTACTCTCAAATGGTTATAGTATATACAAAAAATATATAAATTGACAAATCGATCGGGAAATTGCAGTGAAGCTTCTATACATGTTTCCTAGTTCGGTGGAAAGAAATCATATGAAACTAAATGATATAATTCATAATCAAACAATAACCACGGAGGGACAATTTTTACAATTTCAAAAAACTTAATAACTAAAGCAGTAAAATTTTCACCTACCTAGTAATCGAAGAGAAAGAAGAAATTAAAAGCTACGTAAAAGATAATAAAGAAAGGAACCAATTCAAATAATATGTGCTTATTTCGTAAGAATAAGGAGACAAATTAACCAAGTTTGAGTTTGATTTAAAAGACCAAAATCGCACTGACATGTAAAGGGCTTTCGTTGTCAGATTCAGAAGGCCTAAAGCGCACCAATTTGTTCTACAATTGAGATCTTCCAATATGCTTCAATGGTTGTTTTGACCCGTATAAATTGATTCTAGACACAAACACAACAAAAAATGGATTCAGAATAATGAAGTAGAAGAAAAGTTTTTTCTTGAGGACCTTTTTTTTTCGCCGGCGAATCTAACGGGCTGATGGAAAATCCCATCATGCAAACAAAGACTTTTTAGCAGCTCCGATTATTTATTTTCTAGTAAGGTGGCGCTTGACACAGCTCAACAACCCAATTTTCCTGAAAAAATCCGCAACAACAAATCCAAATAAAATAAAATAAAATAAATCTCACCAAATTAGCAAACGGACGTCCCCCACCATTGTCGTCTCCCTCCTCTTATTCATCCCCTCCGCCGTTGGATCCGCTGTTTCCACGGACCTCCAAAAGAAAAAAATCTCAAGATCTGGACCTGAATTGAAGCATAAACCCGAGGCTTTCATCTCCGACGAAGCCAAATTCTACCATCACGGAACTGAATATCTCGACATTGGTCTTCAGGGACATTTCGAACGGGCGGCAGAGTTCTTTCGGCCTGTAGCTAAACATAAACAACAAGCAAGACTCTAGCCCGACTTCGAAGTTGATGGAGAGCTCGTTGGGATCGCCGACTATCTCGGTGAAGAAGAAGAAGAATTATTGATGAATTGGGGTTTCAAATTCTTTCAAGATGTGGGATTTTCTCTCAAGCGAATCGAAGCGAAAGATCGTCGAAGGAGAAGCGGGATTTTGGACGAATTGGGGTTTCTGGTTCTTTCACGATATGAGATTTTTTCTCGAGCTAATAAGCAAAATTTAATGTAGGGATTTTTTCTCCATATTATACGGGATTTTCCGGAGCCAAACATATAGATATTTTAGGTAATTTATATTTTGAATGAATAAATCCCTACATATAAGGATTTCTTGTTAAATCTCCATACAAATCTATTGATCATAAATAATTACATATTTCCAAAATGAATTTGTCAAACACGTGAGCACTCAAAATTTAAAATTCCATTTGGGGTAAGTCAAAGTTTTGACTCAATTATTTTAGGTTTCTAAAAAAGAATTTAACATCAACCTTTTTACATATATATATATATATATATATATATATATATATATATATATAAAGAACAACATGCTAGTCAAACAAATAGAGTTGTAAGTGAACCGAACCGACTCGAGCTCAGGTCCGAGCCCTCTACGCGGCTCGTAAGTTAACTAGACAATAAACGAACTCGAGCTCGACTCGGTAAAATTGTTAGTTCATGAAATTATTCAAAAACTTTTTCTTGTCTTAAAGAGGTGAACATAGTTCATGAGCGACTTATTCCATTTTACAACTCTACAAACACAATAAATGTATATCGTTAGATATTAAACAACTTAATCAAAATGAACATTGTGCAAAAAATAAAATAAAAAATCAAATTTGATGAATGAACATCGTGAAAACTTAATCAAAAAAATAGTGAATATGATAATTTGCGTAACATAAGTAGTAACTGTACGTTATGACACCACTATAATTAGTCAATAACACATAATCAGTTACTGTATGTGCATTTAAATAAAAAACTTTATAGTATTATGTTTGAAACAATTTCATCTTAAGACGAGAAAAGAATACGAGTTCTTTTGAAATATTCTTAAACCTACCCCTGGCCCAAAGAAAAATAAACCGTTTACCATTGAAAATACCGAGTGCCAACTACTCACCCGAAGAAAAAAGAAAAAAATAAAACTTGGATAGAGTTTAACAAAATGACTCTTTTTTTCTTTAATGATACAAAAGTAATTAAGTTTAAGATTGTAGCCAATAAACATATCCAACTTGGATAGAGTTTAACAAAATTACTTCTTTTTAATGATACATAGGTAATTAAGGTTAAGATTGTAACCAATAACATATCCGATGATTGGAAAAGACATACATGTCTTCCACATCAGTCCATTTAATTAACTTAATTAATTATTAGAGTGAGACAACCAACAAAATAACAAAAAAGGACATAACAACTTAGGCTTGTGACCATTTTAGCGGCAATATTGTCATAAATAAAACTTTGATTTGATAATTAGAGATGATAAATGATATAAAATGGGCATCTCAATTTGTACTGATCTCGTTTAAAATTTGTTTAGTTAATGAGTTGAGCTTAAGCCTAAAAAATAGAAATTAATATATAATTTTCTATAATTCGACACGTTAATATTTACTAAAGAACCGAACACGAGCTCGTTTATTGACTCATTTTGTAGCTCGGCTTTGTTTACTTCGATGAAAGGCTCGAGTCATAGTTTGAGTGCCAAAAGCTCAAGGTCGGCTCCATCCGTTTACACATTTAGCGGTAATTAGAGTTGCTAAAGGAAACGAGTCATCTATGATCTCGACTCTTTAAGGCTCGAGTTCGACAAGGTTTATTTAATAAATGAACTGAGCTCAAACTTATTTAGTTAACTAGCCAAGTTCGACTCAGCTCGAAAAGACTAAAAACATATTATTACTTTTATATAATTTGTTATAGTTCATTTCGTTAAAACTCGAGTTTAAATTACGAGTCAAGCTTGAGCTCGATTATTAGATCATTAACACTGGTTTGTTAACAAGTCAAGCTGAGTCGAGTTCGAGTTCGGCTCGACTCATTTCAATATAATTAATGAGGAAAAAGAAGAAAATTAATGGCAATGGTGTGAATTTATGACAAAGAAAGTGGCATATAGATAAGACGGCTAGCTGTCCAAGGACTTGTCCTCAAGTGATTAGGCCGTCACTATACCGACTTCCTCTTACTTTTGTTTTCCTTTTTATCCTTTTTACATAACTCCCTTTTAATAATACTCGTTAGTGTTGAGTTTGGGCTCTGAAAGCGACGGCCCACGTCAGCCCACCACTTCTGGACCAATGACGTTGACCACCTCGCATAGTGGCCCATAATGGGCTTATATAATTTTTGGTACTACGTGGTGAAAATACTGTAGAGAGAAAATTAAGTGGAGCATCTCGCCGCCACGTGGACGAATAGGGTCGTTGTGCTACAGTGTCGACCTCTTATCCGTTGTGTTTGGTTTGGACCATGATACTACATCTAGGATGGTTGCCCTAAAATAAGGCGAGATAACCATTCAATTAAGTTTAACTATTAATGTATGAGATAAAATGGTGTATATTAGTACAACGTGGTTAATAAAATGTATCAATATTCAAATACCAATTCTTTATACCAAAAAAAAAAAAAATATTCAAATACCAATGATAAACGTCAAAAATATTATCTTCACTTTTTTGTACTCTTATGGTGCACTTGGATATAGTGGATAGCTAATTCAATTAGTTGATAATGAATAGCAACCGAATTAGAAGATTTGATAAAACACATTATTCAAAAATTTGATAATAAATAAGTTGTTTGATATGTAAAAATAACTAAAATTATAATTTTTTATTCTAAAAAGCTCTATATCGATCATGGATGTAAACAGATTACTGTAATATTAGAACCTCGATTAGAAGTTTGATTCGTTAAATTCGCTAATTTAACCTATTTGATAAAAAGCTTATTTGATTAGCTTTTTGAGTTCAAAACCCTATCGAAAAAAAAAATAAAAAAAATTTTGTCATCCGATCTATAACAATTTTCGCACATCACTGTATAACTTTTTTTATTTTTATTTTTACAAACCACCACCTGAATTACATGGGTTTGTCAAATTACCTCCTAAACCAGATATAAAAGAGGTTTTGACTAAAAAAATCGATTTCAAGAATTTCATATACTTTTTTAAAAAAGAAAATTGAATAAATTGTCATTGGGAAATGGAGGGGAAAGAGGTTGATAAGGGTATTTTAGGACTTTGATATATTTTTGAATGAAAAAAAATGAAAGGGAATATCCCACGCTCCCATATACTGTACATCCTATATTGAACGGTCTTGCCACCGCCCTCAACTTCCTCCACCGGACCTGTTCTTTTGTCCACCCGGCAACATCTGACCGCACTTTTGTCTGCAAGATTAGCGATGTCGGCCTCTCTCGCCTGGTACTGGTCCCTGTTGCCGACATCATCACTTAGTGCCAAATCCGAGGTCTACTCGTTCGGGGTCATGCTGCTGCAAGTCCTCATGTTGAGACCGCGATTGAGTCAGGCCAGTTAGCGAATGTGCTCGACCGCACAGTTGGGGACTTGGCCCTCTCATTGGCCAAGCTGGCTTTAAAGTATTGTGAACTGAGGAGAAGGGAAGAGGATGAGGGACGTGGGATTGGAAGTGTCGTGTGTGGTGAGCTTTTTCGATGCACACTCGCAGGGTCATTGGAAGTAACGCAGAGGTCGAGTGGCTCGGAGCCCACCACGAGCCTAACGTACAGAATGAAACACGCCTTGATGTCTGTGCAGTCAACGGCTCCTATTGTCTCTGATGACCATGAAAAAGGCGCGCTCTTGAATGTTCAATTGAGATATATGAATGCATATCGGACCATGTATGTGCACTACAACTGCCACGCAGCGGCTGCACCTAGAATGACAACTCCTTCATTTTTCTTTTTTAAATTTTTCAAAAACTATGCAAAATTCCCTCAAAAATTAGTTTTTTAGTCAAAACCACTTTAAATTTGAGAACAAGATGAAAAAAAAACGTGGAGTCTGTATGGCTGTTTGTAAAAAAAAAAGTTGATATAGTAAGCCGCAAAAATCGTGATATTTCGGATAACAATTTTTTTTTTCCTAAACCCTGATTTTGAAAAAGCTCAATAGATGAGCATTTTGAGAAGAGAGCATATAATAACATGTCAGTATAAAATATTAAAATAGTTACACGATCCGCTATTTACCAAATCATTATTTTCAAACAATCGATAACAATCTACTAGTAAAATTAATTATTGCAATCCGCTATAAGATATCAGCTACACAATAGAATCAGAGGCTATGTCGAATCAAACATATAATTTACCTTAAAACCTCTAATTTTATCCAAAATTAATGCTAACTACCAAATAAAGTTGTGATACAAATTGATTAAATATAAGTCACACTTTGTATGAACTCTCCAATCCATAGTAAAAGATCACTTAAAGTTTATGTCATTCTTATGTTGCGGTAGCACGATTCGTTCAATTACCTAAAGCAAAAACTTTTTGGAAAATGAAAAAGGTAAATTGGGACATAGATTATTATTTTTTTTAAAATGAGGAAAAACAAAAGTACAAATTTTGGAAAAAGCACGGGTCAATTGCAGCAAGCATCGGTATTAATAAACGTATAATAATTGTGAAATTAGGCAAGGGACTTATTAACTGGGGAGCAGTAGGTGGAAGACATTATTTTCTTAGTTTGATGATAAAAAAGCAAATGGGACATGACATGAAAACGCATTTATGATAATACTGGTTAGACTCCTTTCTCAACTTTCACTTTATTATGTCTCTCCCATTACAGCTAAAATTTTCCTTCTTCATGGATATTTCTATCTATCCATCCAAACACTATAAAAGTCCCTTCATCCATATTTGTCACTTTCTTTCAAAATTTCAATTCCAAACATACTTATTTTATTCATGAAGTTTGATTTTTCACTCCATACTAGTATTAAACCCGTGCGATGCACGGAAAATATGGTTCAATGACAATTATTTTAGTAAGTTATTTATTTCAATATTATTAAAAATTCATTAAAAATATATTGATGGTATGATCGGTCACAGTGATATTCACAAACTAATATTTTAAATAAAAATCACTGCTTACGCGTCCGATAGCACATAATAGATTTTTCCATTGATTGGAAATAAGTTTTCCCTCCACAAGATTCTTCTTGATATTTCTATCCTTTTGTTTATTGTTACCTTGAATCCGTTCTCCCTGTGAACACATAAGCAAGATGTAAAGAGTTAGCAAAAATATTTCTAAATGATTTTATAGTTCTTGCTAAAATAAAAGGAAGAAACATCCATAAATTTTAATGTCTCCTTTAATCCACATGTATTTTTTATTTCACATTGATGTCATGTTAGTAATTTTTTTTCATACAAATACAAAGTGGTTATTATTACTACAGAATAAACCATTAAAGCTGCAATTGAAAAACTTTTCTCTTTCATGTAAATGATATAACTTCATTCAATTTAAAATGGTTGTTATTATTACCGAACATATAATTTGGAGTTGCAGATAATTTTCCACAATTTCTTTTTATGTTGTGAAAATAAAGAATTTATCGATGAAGACTTCATTTTACAAACCAATATTTTTCAATATTTATTAGCAATAATCATTATCAACACATATTAGTAATAAGTATATCTATATATAATGTGAGTGCTTGCATTCCTGCAAGATAGACATGTCGTGGGTGTTTTATTTTTTCAATATCTCAATTTTAAATTAAAAAAATCAATAATTTGACCAGAACAATTAAATTTGTGAACTACAATTATTAAATATACAAGCAACAATTCAAAGTCTAAAAAAGACCATGGTATCGTTCAATGGACGTACACTTCTTGAGGAGTTTGATAAGATTAACACGTTATAAAAATGCACAATAAATAAAATCATTGAATAGCACACTATATGAACTAATATTGGACAACAAACGTACCTCGGGATTATGAAGAATGCACTCCATAAAGTGAATCACATTTTCTCCATGGGTTGTAACCCTTTCATACATCATAATTAGACGAAATTTCAATGCTCTGTTGAGGCAACTAGTCTGTCAATTTTTTGATCGCCACAAAGAGCGGAGCCATTTTTTGGAAACTTTGTTGAGTACGTGTAAAAATATGTTCTATGCATTTTGATCTAATTGTTAATCTTACTCACTGTTATATAATCACATCACGCGATAATATATTTATATCGATTAATAAATAATTTTGACCTTACATAAAGATGGTAATATGTTTATATTAATTAATAAATAATATTTAGCTTATATGCACTTCAATCATTTATAAAATCAAGGCCAAACCAATTATATGAAGTAGATACTAATAATGTAATATGGATATTAACTAACCAAAATCATGAATCTTTGAAATCATACCAAATTTATCACTGGTAAATGATCCGTGATAGATATGGCCATTCAACGGGTCCGGGTCCGGGCCCGGCCTGGCAGGCGCGGTCCTAAACACCCTGGCCCGGGACCGAATCGGAAACTGCTTAGGGCCGGTTCGATCTGGACCGGCCCGCGGAATCCCGGCTTCCAGTCCGTGACCCGGACCCGGACCGGTCCGGACCGCCGGGACAAAAAAAAAATGGAGCAGCCCGGGACCGAACCGCGACGCTCACGGTCCGGTTAAACGAACCTGCTCTTAGGTGGCCGGTCCGGGACCAGTTTCGGTCTGGGTTCACGGGCCAGGTCGGCCCGTGGCCATGTCTAGTCCGTGAATATTGAAGATATAGGCTTATATGACTTACCAATATATAGATTATTAATTAATATTATTAGTTAAATCGGTGTGATTTAAAAATAAGCATATTACCATCTTTACATAAGTTAAAAAATATCATGCGTGAATATGCCAATATATTATCAAATAAAGATTAATCCTGAATATGAAGATATATGCTTTCTTGATCCTACCAATATATCATGCATGAATATGCCAAAAAAAATCAATATATTATGTGTGAATATACAATGACTTACCAAATATTCAAAATGACTTAACAAAAAATATTTACAAAATTATCCAAAAAATGTAGGCGGAAAAAAATTTGTCAATTTTGACAAAATGGATTGGTCCATTATATAGATATAGATATAGATTATAACTATATGAAAACAAACTTATTGAGCGGAGACATAATCTTAGAATGATTATTCCATTTTATTAGTATTATATTTTATTATAAATGCAATAAACTTTAAAAAAATGTATGATGAATGATAGAGTTGTTAAATGAAACGAATCTCTTATGAGTTTTGCACAATCAAATGACACGAGCTCGGGGCTGGAAATTAATAAGAATTTTATGTAATTTTAGTCCGTCTTATTAAGGTTCAAATTTGGCTCGTTAAAATTGATAAACGAGTAATTAAGTTTTGATCGGCTCGCTTACACCTCTTGCGAATGATCTTCACCAAACCTTTAAGAGTTTTTCACCTTGAATGTGGCTTCAAATTCGGTCTTTGGTCACCTGTAAAGACTGGTGGGAAGTGTTTCTTGTATAAAATCTCCTAAGTTCGAT